AACAAAACCAACACCCAACCAGAGGAGGACAAAAAAAAAAAAAAAACAAAAAAAAAAAAGGAAAAAAAAAAAAAAACCACAAACACAAACCACCCCCACCCCCCCCCCCCCCCCCCCACACACACACACACACACACACACCCAACCCAAAAACAACAAAAAAAAAAAAACAGGCAGGGGGGGGGGGGGACAACCCCCCCCCCCCCCCCCCCCCCCCCCCCCCCACCCAACCCACAAACAAAAACAAAACAAAAAAACAAAAAAGGGAGGAAAAAAAACGGCCGGGGGGGCCCCCCCCCCCCCCCCCCCAAATTTCACCCCCCCCCCCCCCCCCTTTTTTAAAAAAAAAAAAAGGAAACCCAAACCACGGGGGGGGGGGGGGGGGGGAAAAAAAAAAACCACCCTCCTTTTTTTAAAAAAAAAAATTTTTTTTTAAAAATTTTTTCCTTTTTTTCCCCCCCCACCAAAACCCCCCCTCCTTTCTGAAGGACCTAATATAAAAAACCGTATTTTCATTCATCATTGATATACATTCCTAAAATACTTAGCTTCAGTGTTTCAGGATTTTGTCTTTATATTACAACACAAAAAAAGGGGGGGGGGGGGGGGGAAAAAAAAAGGACAAAAAATTTCCCCCCCCCCCTTTTCCCCCAAAAAAAAAAAAAAAAATATTTGGGGGGGGGAGAAAACCCCCCCCCGGGGGGGGTTTTTTTTAAGAACCCCCCAAAATTAAAAAAAGTTTTTTGGTAAATTTTCCTTTTACGGGGGGTTTTGAATATTTTTTGAGAAAATCCCCAAATTCCCTTTGGAGCCTGGTGTAAACGATATTGATTGTTACAAAAATATTTAAACATGTTACCTTTATCCTCCACACGGATATTCGACAGAAATTGATGTTAAAAGCCAGCGGGAGGCACAAAGCTATTGAAATGATATCACATGAAACGTTTTAAAATTAAGTGAGCGTGGCAGCCTCCCATCATCCGAAATGTTATTTTGTAGCTTTTATTGACGTACTGCAACCGTAATAACTGAGTTATAAATATAATTAGTGGGGCCGCAAAGGTATTTCATGATACAGGGCTAATAATACTATATTTCAGTTGGGGCTTCTAATGGAGCAGACACATTTCATAATTTTAGGCTTTACGTAGTAGGCTATATACATATATAGCATAAAATATACTTATTTTTCTGTAACTGAACGTAACCGTACTCTCCGGTGGTAATCTTAAGGCGACTAATGTGCAGAATTAGTTGTGAAACAAATTAATTGATGGAGTACGCGTCATCCATTAATTAATTAGTCGTATTTATTGCCGACCTAAAATTTAAATAAAAAAATATCGGGTAATCGTAGTGGTTGCGCTTGGTAAATTGAGTTAATCATGAATGGACTTGTGGTAATGTAAAATTAAATACTGTAATTTTATTATTGGTTGTTATACCCATTATCAAGACACGTATTATTATCTGCCCTGCTCTGCTATCATTAATTCATTAGTTTTTCCTCAGGGTTATACTGCAAAGGCACATACGATACTTGGCTATGCTGGCCACATACGCCAGCAAACGGCACTGCGATTGCACACTGCCCCGAATTTGTACCCGGATTTAGCCCAGAATGTATGTATATCGATTATTAAACTTACTTCTCACAGGTTTATAGGTTATAGGTTTAAAGAAAAAACTTTTTAACCGGATTAAAGTTATGTATTATTATAAATTTACAATTATTTTACATAATTTGTAAATTGTATCCGACGTTTCGTAAAAAAAACAAACTAAAAAAAAGTTTTTTCTTTAAATGTGTAAAGGTTATGTCAATCAAAGACAATACTAGGTTATAGGTTGGTGAACTCAGTTTGAGCACTTAGCCTCATTATTGGTCAAAAAAGTCGTAGCTAATTTAGCTCCTTCCTTCTCACAGGGTTCTGTTCCCAGACGTAATATTTCGGAAATGCCTCGATGGCAAGGTTTTACACGTGTAAATTCATATTGTGAAACAGTGTTGCTATATATACAAAGCCAGTCCCCATCGGACTCAAAAAGGCAAAACCTAAAGGTAAAGGTAGTCTTTAGGGACACATAATATAGTACAGTTATCTGAAAGTCCTCGATTTTATATCGCACAGGAGAAATGAAAGAGGATTACGATGTGAACTTGTATTACAAATCTTTAATACAGGTGACAAAAGAAACTTTTACTTAAACTTAAAAATATTTACCAATTGTATAATGCGTAGATATATTTAAACTATCTTAAATTACAATTCACGCTTATTTAATGACAACTAAATTGTGGTATCAAACATTTAATTGGATTAGTTCTTAAGCGTGATAGATTATGCTATAAAGTGACGAAAATTTTGTCGGTACCAGAAGCTATGTAAGTTTAAAGAGGTAAATGTTCGGGGAAACATGAATTGTTCTGAGAAAGTTTGTGAAAGTTTTGTTCTTACACAAAACCAATTATTGAAATGGAAATACAATTAGTGAAACCCAGTTATACCCACAATTTTCTCATGAATTTAATCTATGTTTATAGCCATCAAATCAACGTGTATTTCCGAATATGTTAGTAGCTTGATAAGATTTAGTGTGATAAATAAATTGGGTATTAAATAAATAAGGTAATTTTTTTTTCAGTATGGGCACACAAGGAATGTACATCTGATGGAACGTGGTGGGAACACCCAGATTCTGGAAAACCTTGGTCTAATTACACCACTTGCGTTAAGGCAGAGGAGGTAATCTCATACACGACTTAAACAAAACAAGAACCAAACTTATAGAACGAATATAAACGTGAATTATTTTATTATTGAGAGACTAGGAGTAATTTATTACTTTATTTACATAAATAATGTTGTTTACATATGTAGGACTCGCTGAAAGAATAAAAAAGTATCTTCGTATTTGTATAAAGCATAGCATTTTAATTTGTTAATAAACGGTGTTTCCTCCTCTCAAACATTCTTATGTGCAAAGGCAAGATATATATTGTTGGTATATGTTTAATTATTTACGAATAATAAACACGGCTTTGGGGTATATTGCAATACACTCAGTCTGGGAAGTGTCGTGACAATTATGTTTATCACACATAGTTGTCTGCGTCGGAAGCCAGACGTAAACAATAAGGGTCGCCATGCACCGATGGCTCCATGTTCACATCTTCCGGGTGCGCGATTATTCTATAGATTTCTGATCAGATTGAATTTGCCCAATTGTTACGAATAATACATATTTATTTTTTCGTTTCCGATTTTGCATTACTTAAAAACAAATAATATTGTTTAGTACATTTTGTTACAGCAATCGATTCGATAAATTATAAAACATCTGTATTATTATGACATCAATCATCAAATCTAATGATTCCATACTCTCATATATCTCTCACTCAAATGGAACAAAAAAGCAAAATGACAATATAAATTACAAAGTTGGCTTGGCTCTAATGGCGCTAACTTTTCTAATAAATAGCCAAATTTATATTAAAATGAAACTGACATAAGCATCGTAGGCGTAAACTAATTAAATAATTGTCAAGTAAAGATATTTAAGAAAATAACGGTTCTTGTTATTTCAGGACGTCAGCGAAGTTATAATATTGTTCCAGACAGGCTACAGCATATCTCTCATTGCTCTACTTATCTCTCTAGCTATTCTGTTATATTTCAAGTAAGCTTAACTATAATATTTTTCTATAAATGTTCTTAATAGAAACATTCGTGAACAAGGAAACTCCATTTTCAGAAGTCTTCGCTGCGCAAGAATAACAGTGCACATAAACTTATTTGCGTCGTTCGCATTGAACAATGCGTTGTGGTTGGCGTGGTACGGCCTTGTAGTCAACGATGCAGACACTCCAAAGGAAAACCCACCCTGGTGCCAACTCCTCAACGCTGTACTCCAATACGCTCTTCTCACCAACTACACCTGGATGTTATGCGAAGGGTATGTCATGATTAATAGGAGATGAAACCAATAAATTGAGTTACTAATATGAGATAGAAGGCTAAAGTAAGGGACAGTGGTGGAAGTTCGAAAAATTTAATAATAATGAAAATGGTTTTGCCTTACAGATTATATCTCCACACAGTTCTAGTCAGCGCGTTTGTCTCGGAGCGACGCTTAGTCAGAGTTCTCTTGGCAGCCGGATGGCTCCTACCCATACCTTCAGCAATAATTCACGCGGCAAGACGTGGGGCTGCCAACGATCCCTTCTGCTGGGCGGATGAAGGTGCTCCAAGACCGGAGTTAGCAGTTCTAGTTCTTGCGACTGTGATTTTGAATCTTGCGTTTTTGTGTAACATAGTGAGAGTGTTGTGTACTAAGTTAAGGGCGGGCGGCGGGGCGGGAGTCGCGAGGCCTTCTGCGACTGCCCTTCATGCACTAAGGGCTACCTGCTTGCTGGCACCGCTTTTGGGTAAGGAAATAACTATTGTATTTTAATATTTTCTTGTTTAAAGTATTTTAAGCCACTACTAGGCTACAGATTTAATGGCGAACTAATTAATGATTTAATATTCATCTTCAAAATTAACCGACAAATAGAACGTATTTAGCGTAATCCCTCCACCAAGCTCTAACTGCGTGTTAACAAACTAATTAGTCGGGCTAAAATAATTTTCCATTTAATAAAATTACAAGAATATAGATTATCAGCAATAACGGCAAAAATGTTGGTTGTAGGTGTTCAATACCTGCTGACACCATTCCGGCCCAGCCGTGAAGCCAGCTGGTGGCGGGCCTATGAGTACGTGGCAGCCATTATTACGTCGTTGCAAGGTCTTTGCGTGGCTGTGCTGTACTGCTTTTGTAATGGCGAAGTGCTGGCCCAGCTCCGGAGACGATGGAGAATTCTCACCTTCAGGCCAAGAGCTAACTCCACTACTAATACTACAGTCTCTGTGAGTAAAACTTTTAGATTTTTGAAAGTACGGAGTAGCTCATTGACCAATATAACAGTAGAACTTAGCGTAGAAAGCTAAAATCCAACCGTAATAGGAGAAAGTTCCACCAGTTCAAGGTTTTCCAACGCACCTTTCTGTATCTCTGCAATTATTTTAAAAAAACTGTTTACCCGATTGGGATAGTTTTATTATTGAGATATTATTTAGTAATTGTGTAATTTTGAAGGCAGACCTTTGGCTTCATAGACAGCTCTAAACAATTTTGACTTAAGAACTATGTTAGTAATTTTTAATGATGTTAAATTACATTACTACGCCCTTAGCGAGCTTTATCTAGTGCCTCAATAGTTACAAATCTTGCCTAACTGTACATTTCCCTTTAAAACCGGCAACCTCTCACATTTCCCGTATTGTCAATATTAATGGGGGGGGGGGGGGGGGGGGGGGGGGGGGGGGGGGGGGGGGGGGGGGGGGGGGGGGGGGGGGGGGGGGGGGGGGGGGGGGGGGGGGGGGGGGGGGGGGGGGGGGGGGGGGGGGGGGGGGGGGGGGGGGGGGGGGGGGGGGGGGGGGGGGGGGGGGGGGGGGGGGGGGGGGGGGGGGGGGGGGGGGGGGGGGGGGGGGGGGGGGGGGGGGGGGGGGGGGGGGGGGGGGGGGGGGGGGGGGGGGGGGGGGGGGGGGGGGGGGGGGGGGGGGGGGGGGGGGGGGGGGGGGGGGGGGGGGGGGGGGGGGGGGGGGGGGGGGGGGGGGGGGGGGGGGGGGGGGGGGGGGGGGGGGGGGGGGGGGGGGGGGGGGGGGGGGGGGGGGGGGGGGGGGGGGGGGGGGGGGGGGGGGGGGGGGGGGGGGGGGGGGGGGGGGGGGGGGGGGGGGGGGGGGGGGGGGGGGGGGGGGGGGGGGGGGGGGGGGGGGGGGGGGGGGGGGGGGGGGGGGGGGGGGGGGGGGGGGGGGGGGGGGGGGGGGGGGGGGGGGGGGGGGGGGGGGGGGGGGGGGGGGGGGGGGGGGGGGGGGGGGGGGGGGGGGGGGGGGGGGGGGGGGGGGGGGGGGGGGGGGGGGGGGGGGGGGGGGGGGGGGGGGGGGGGGGGGGGGGGGGGGGGGGGGGGGGGGGGGGGGGGGGGGGGGGGGGGGGGGGGGGGGGGGGGGGGGGGGGGGGGGGGGGGGGGGGGGGGGGGGGGGGGGGGGGGGGGGGGGGGGGGGGGGGGGGGGGGGGGGGGGGGGGGGGGGGGGGGGGGGGGGGGGGGGGGGGGGGGGGGGGGGGGGGGGGGGGGGGGGGGGGGGGGGGGGGGGGGGGGGGGGGGGGGGGGGGGGGGGGGGGGGGGGGGGGGGGGGGGGGGGGGGGGGGGGGGGGGGGGGGGGGGGGGGGGGGGGGGGGGGGGGGGGGGGGGGGGGGGGGGGGGGGGGGGGGGGGGGGGGGGGGGGGGGGGGGGGGGGGGGGGGGGGGGGGGGGGGGGGGGGGGGGGGGGGGGGGGGGGGGGGGGGGGGGGGGGGGGGGGGGGGGGGGGGGGGGGGGGGGGGGGGGGGGGGGGGGGGGGGGGGGGGGGGGGGGGGGGGGGGGGGGGGGGGGGGGGGGGGGGGGGGGGGGGGGGGGGGGGGGGGGGGGGGGGGGGGGGGGGGGGGGGGGGGGGGGGGGGGGGGGGGGGGGGGGGGGGGGGGGGGGGGGGGGGGGGGGGGGGGGGGGGGGGGGGGGGGGGGGGGGGGGGGGGGGGGGGGGGGGGGGGGGGGGGGGGGGGGGGGGGGGGGGGGGGGGGGGGGGGGGGGGGGGGGGGGGGGGGGGGGGGGGGGGGGGGGGGGGGGGGGGGGGGGGGGGGGGGGGGGGGGGGGGGGGGGGGGGGGGGGGGGGGGGGGGGGGGGGGGGGGGGGGGGGGGGGGGGGGGGGGGGGGGGGGGGGGGGGGGGGGGGGGGGGGGGGGGGGGGGGGGGGGGGGGGGGGGGGGGGGGGGGGGGGGGGGGGGGGGGGGGGGGGGGGGGGGGGGGGGGGGGGGGGGGGGGGGGGGGGGGGGGGGGGGGGGGGGGGGGGGGGGGGGGGGGGGGGGGGGGGGGGGGGGGGGGGGGGGGGGGGGGGGGGGGGGGGGGGGGGGGGGGGGGGGGGGGGGGGGGGGGGGGGGGGGGGGGGGGGGGGGGGGGGGGGGGGGGGGGGGGGGGGGGGGGGGGGGGGGGGGGGGGGGGGGGGGGGGGGGGGGGGGGGGGGGGGGGGGGGGGGGGGGGGGGGGGGGGGGGGGGGGGGGGGGGGGGGGGGGGGGGGGGGGGGGGGGGGGGGGGGGGGGGGGGGGGGGGGGGGGGGGGGGGGGGGGGGGGGGGGGGGGGGGGGGGGGGGGGGGGGGGGGGGGGGGGGGGGGGGGGGGGGGGGGGGGGGGGGGGGGGGGGGGGGGGGGGGGGGGGGGGGGGGGGGGGGGGGGGGGGGGGGGGGGGGGGGGGGGGGGGGGGGGGGGGGGGGGGGGGGGGGGGGGGGGGGGGGGGGGGGGGGGGGGGGGGGGGGGGGGGGGGGGGGGGCGGGGGGGGGGGGGGGGGGGGGGGGGGGGGGGGGGGGGGGGGGGGGGGGGGGGGGGGGGGGGGGGGGGGGGGGGGGGGGGGGGGGGGGGGGGGGGGGGGGGGGGGGGGGGGGGGGGGGGGGGTGGGGGGGGGGGGGGGGGGGGGGGGGGGGGGGGGGGGGGGGGGGGGGGGGGGGGGGGGGGGGGGGGGGGGGGGGGGGGGGGGGGGGGGGGGGGGGGGGGGGGGGGGGGGGGGGGGGGGGGGGGGGGGGGGGGGGGGGGGGGGGGGGGGGGGGGGGGGGGGGGGGGGGGGGGGGGGGGGGGGGGGGGGGGGGGGGGGGGGGGGGGGGGGGGGGGGGGGGGGGGGGGGGGGGGGGGGGGGGGGGGGGGGGGGGGGGGGGGGGGGGGGGGGGGGGGGGGGGGGGGGGGGGGGGGGGGGGGGGGGGGGGGGGGGGGGGGGGGGGGGGGGGGGGGGGGGGGGGGGGGGGGGGGGGGGGGGGGGGGGGGGGGGGGGGGGGGGGGGGGGGGGGGAGGGGGGGGGGGGTTGTGTGGGGGGGGGGGGGGGGGGGGGGGGGGGGGGGGGGGGGGGGGGGGGGGGGGGGGGGGGGGGGGGGGGGGGGGGGGGGGGGGGGGGGGGGGGGGGGGGGGGGGGGGGGGGGGGGGGGGGGGGGGGGGGGGGGGGGGGGGGGGGGGGGGGGGGGGGGGGGGGGGGGGGGGGGGGGGGGGGGGGGGGGGGGGGGGGGGGGGGGGGGGGGGGGGGGGGGGGGGGGGGGGGGGGGGGGGGGGGGGGGGGGGGGGGGGGGGGGGGGGGGGGGGGGGGGGGGGGGGGGGGGGGGGGGGGGGGGGGGGGGGGGGGGGGGGGGGGGGGGGGGGGGGGGGGGGGGGGGGGGGGGGGGGGGGGGGGGGGGGGGGGGGGGGGGGGGGGGGGGGGGGGGGGGGGGGGGGGGGGGGGGGGGGGGGGGGGCGCCGCCCCCCGGGGACGAAAAGAGGAGAAGGGGGGGGGGGCGGGGGGGGGGGGGGGGGGGGGGGGGGGGGGAGAGCCCCCCCCCCACCCCCCCCCCCGCGGAGGACAACCGCGAGCGGGGCGGCCCCCCCCGCCGGGGGGGGGGGGGGGGGGGGGGGGGGGGGGGGGGCCCCGGGGGCGGGGGGGGGGGGGGCCCCCCCCCCCCCCCCGGGGGGGGGGGGGGGGGGGGGGGGGGGGGGGGGGGGGGGGGGGGGGGGGGGGGGGGGGGGGGGGGGGGGGGGGGGGGGGGGGCCCCCCCCCCCCCCCCCCCCCGGGGAGAGGAAACGGGGGGGGGGGGGGGGGGGGGGGGGGGGGGGGGGGGGGGGGGGGGGGGGGGGGGGGGGGGGGGGGGGGGGGGGGGGGGGGGGGGGGGGGGGGGGCGCGAAAAAAACACCCCCCCCCCCCCCCCGGGGCGGCCCCCCCCAACCACACCTTTTTTTTTTTTTTGTCAATATTAATAATAAATGTTCTAGATATATCTCACATTGTGTTAAAAACCAAATTATACGTAATAAATTAAATGTTTGGTTGTAATACATGATACAGTTTGTACGGTCCGGCGGGGCGGGCGGAGGCGATGACCGCGTGTGACTGGCGGCCGGCGGCGCGGAGCCCGAAGCCCCACCGGACGAGAGACAACGCCGGATAAGGTTCGAGGAGGACGACGACGCGCCGCCGGACGCAAAACTCATATGACAGTCTGAATGTGTTCTAACCGCCTGTAAGTTTCCTTTATTTTGTTGTCATTATCACCATCATTGTTTAACTCACCGATAAGGAATGACTTTATTTTCGATCGGCACAACACAACCGGCTTCCGTCTTGACTTTGAACCTTAGCTGAATGACTATTACTATATGATTTATAAACCACGTAATTCCAAATTAGCGAAACCAGTGCCCGTACGCTGCAACATCAAATAGCTTCCGATAGCTAGCGGCAGCAAACCCGGCGTTTTTGTATGCAAGTTCGCTGTCGATATCGCTATTGCAAGTTAAATAATAAGGGCCCTGGAGTATTAAGGCAAAAGAATATTATTATTAATTTTATGAAGTCATATTTACCACTAGCTAAATAACCCAATTTGTTTCAGAGTCAGTGTAATTATTGGGAATCCTGAAGACATTATGCAAACATTTAGTGTTAACTGTTAACTATGTTGTGTACCGTAAAGTGTATATTTGTATCTTTGTCGTAATTGATATGTAAATAAAAGTATGTTTTTACTGTTTATCTGTGGTATATCTAAGTGAATTTATGTAAAGAACGTGGTTTATAACAAGAGATCGAATTACTTAATGTACTTTTCTTTCATATATTGTAAACACTTTGTACATACACTAAAATATCGTAAAATGCATTTTATTAAAAACCTCTTTATTCTTGGACCAAATGTATATATTATCCATAATATTACAATTCCTTCGTTGTTTATTGTAAAATAATAAGAACAATGTTAGAAAAAACAATAATTAAGTACCTAAATGTAAACTATACCTACATCTATGTAAGAAATATATTGTATATAGCAAGATAATAATGACAGGGGAGAGGAACGCTTAGAATAAAAGTATAAGATAGAAACTGTGTCTACTACCTAGTATCTACTCTGTA